AACAAAATGGGTTTTTAGAATATATCGCAAATAAAGTAAATTTTTTTATCACATTTCGAATTTATGTGCTCTGAGACACGTTAATGGCCTGGGGAATTTGCAATAACTTTTAAAGTTTTTAATCATTTTTTGTGTTTTATATCTTTCCGAAATGCTTACTCTGAGCACATTACAACTCCTTTACAATAAAGTTAAAAATTTATTACTAAATGGGCAATTGTGAGCAAAACCTAAAAAAACCTAAAAAAATAAAAGGATTACTGCTTTGTAATATATATTATATTGGCCAAGAGTGGCTTTCTATATTACTATGAATAAATAAAATAAATAAATCGATATTTCCTCTTGAAAACTTCAGAGCCGTTGCGGCACCTGTTAACGTTATCCAATCAGCCTAATTTTTTGTATGACATAGTTTTACAACCCAAAGAACAATTCTAGAGGGGAGCGGGCAAAATTCGCATCTTCGTTTTTTTGGAGCACATATATATAAAATTTTCTATATAGTTATTAAATACTAAACATTGAAAATATCTTAACTTAATAAATCAAAAATAATATACTAGATTTGCCTTTGTATAATGTTTACTTACTTGAATTTTTACGGAAAATTCATAAACACCCTTTGTAGCTTTCCGACAATGCAAAATATCCTTATGTGTTGGAGTGTAATCATTCATAGCCAAGCGGTCAATTTCATCTAAGAAATAATTTACTGAATCGCTCTAAAAATAAAGTAAGTATAATATATTAATGTAAAAGCAGATCTTCAGATATATTTACTATTTGAAATTCTCTTCTTCGTTCGTAAGCCCGTCTTATTCCACGATCTTGCCAAAGTCGCCTTATAATTGCAGCATACTGAACAAATTTTTCAGCTTCTAACGTGCTACACTCCATTAATTTTGTTTCGTTTGCATCTTTATCTCGATCGTTATTTCCCCAAGGAATATCAAGTTTTTCTCTGGCATCTATTAGAACTTGCATACCTACAATTAATAAAAACCAAGATTATTTTTAGCATAGAATATAAGAGTTATGAAACGAAAACTATAAAAAATATACTACATAAATAGATTCAAAAGATTTCGAAACAAAATGAATTATCCTGATATTTTGAAATACAAAAAAATTAATGTGCTAAATATTCCCAAGCCTTTAATTTAATTAAAGTTAAATTTTGAATAAAATCAAATGTGTTATTGGGGATAAGCTAGTTCCTATGCACATTAGGCCGGTTGCTTAAACCAGCTCATCAGGATCCTTTCCCAACTTTTTAGAAAAACTAGAAATGTTTATAGTTATTATACCCTTCACCTTCGTGAGAAGGGTATATATAAGTTTGTCATTCCGTTTGTAATTTCTACAATATAATTTTCCGACCCTATAAAGTATATATTCCGAGTCCTTATAGATAGCGGAGTCGATTAAGCTATGTCCGTCTGTCTGTCTGTCCGTCTGTCTGTGTGTTTGTTGAAATCAATTTTCTGAAGACCCTAGATATCTTCGGGATCCAAATCTTCAATAATTCTGTTGGACATACTTTCGAGAAGTTTCCTATTGAAAATCAGCAAAATCGGTCCATAAATAACGGAGATATGAGCAAAAATCCGAGACAACCTCTGAAAATTTCATCAAAAAAGCAACAACAACACTGCTTATTGTATAAAAGGTTGGTTTCATTGCGATGTGTGTTTTGTTTTTGTTTTTTTGTGTATGTATTTCGTTTCATATGTTTGGATGGCTGTGGCACAGTGGTATAGGAAAAAAAAGAGGGAAATAATTCGTAACTTCTAAACGGTTAATCCGATTTTAATGAAATTTGGTATGCACAAAGAGAGGTGTTGTCGAGTTTAGGTTTTGAATTTGGAACTTATAGGCCAACCAGGGGCCCGGCGGGGGGTCCTCAAATTAGGACACCTCGGCTATGTTAAATTTTTAAAACGATCCTATTTCTTCATTTGAGTTCCGATTTAAAAAAAAATCGTATATAGAATCTCCTCATCGAGCACTATAAAAAATGTCGTCGTAGCAGTAAATTATCTCTTATAGTTAAAATTTTAAAATTTTTACCGTCCTTACTTTAGTTTTTTGATAATAGCGGGTCCAAATATTCCCGATTTTCGCCATTTTTTTATTCGCTTATTAGAAATCCCGGAATTCCCAAAAAAGTTTTAAAAAATCCCCTAAACTCGACAACACCTCCTCTTTGTGCATACCAAATTTCATTAAAATCGGATTAACCGTTTAGAAGTTACCGAATTATTTCCCTCTTTTTTTTTCCTATACCACTGTGTGTGGCTTCATCGCCTTGTGTATTTTGTTTTTGTTTTTTTGTGTATATTGTTTCTAATGTTTGGATGGCTGTGGTTTCATTACGTTGTGTATTTTGTTTTTTCTGTTTTTTATTTCGTTTAGCATTGTTGTTGTTTCTCTTGTTTTGCTTAAGTTATGACAGGGTCGGGAAGATGAAATAAATTGACATTTTATAATATTAATATTTTTTAAACACATTATGGTGAAGGGTATATAAGATTCGGCAAAGGCGAATATAGACTTCTTACTTGTTCTTTTTATAAAATCCATCATTATTGAAAATATATAGTACAAATTATTAAAGTTTTAACATAATAATACATTTCTATTTTTATTCTTTTCTTTCATTCTATGCGTATTGGTTGGCTTTTTCCCGACTCTAAATGTAGGTTGGATGGGAAAAACAAAATAAAAGTTTTATTTTGACATTTTTATAAACTTTAAATGTGTTCGATTGACGCGTTCGACATTTTGGACAGGGGAAATTTCGTGTTAAGTGATCCAACTTAAAACATCGATTCGGATAGTTGGTCAAACACAAATTTTCAGCTTCATCGGTCAAGAACTGCCGGACATAGAGGGGGTCATAGTTGGACATTTTGGTCTTTGAAAACAAATTTGGAAATTTTTGTTTTCAAATGGAGATATTTTTGTATTTCAAATATGAAAAAAGGGCAGAAATAAGCTTGAAATTTAAATATTTTCCAAATGTATTTCAAGTATTATTTATTATTGTTTTCAAACAATTTTCAAACCCTAACTAAAATGCTAACTATTGCAAAATTCATATATTTTTTTACATCACCTAAAAATAAAACGTTATTATTAAATTATACATGTTTTTCAATCGTATTTCCGACAACTTCTTATATATCGTTTTTCGTTTTTGCTGTGGAGAAATGTTCTGTTTTTATTTATGTAAACTAAAAGTTTAATAAAAACAAAACAACCTTATTAATTCCTACTTATGAACATTTAACGATTTTTATAAGATATCACTTTTTGGTCGACAAAATAACAAATATTTGTTCTGAGTTAGCATGTTTTGTTTAAAAAATAGAATTAAAAAAAATGCGTTATTTTATAATTTTATGAAATAGTTTGTTTAAAGGCGATATAAATTAATCCAGTAAATCCATTAAGAGCCATTTATACTATTCAAATAGGAAAACTCATGACATATCTGCTCATTTACTATTTCTTATTCTCAATACAAATATTCTAAATTATGAAATGTTTCTGAATATAAAAAAGTATTAATACACTCCCCGAAATATTAATAAGACAATAACGATTTTTATCGTAAGTCGGGAGTTATTGGTGGAATTATCGAATAATTTGGAAATGATATTTGTTATACTAATGTACATTTGTGTGTTATGAAAAATTATTTTCCGTTATTCCACATTAAAAATAACGGTACTTAAAGTTTATATTTAAACGAAATAATTAAAAGACCAGAAGTAAGATATTGTTAAAATCGTTGAAAAAATTAAGTTTTTTTGGAAAAATGTATGGGTTATTGTACTTATTTTTAGTAAAGAGACTGTAAACTTGTATTTCATCGTATATTTATTTTCAACAGGTAGAATTTGTATAAATAAGATTGTTGGTATTACCGCAAGGGGTCCAAAAAGAGAATTTTAAGTCTATAGTTTCTAAAATATTGAAAATCTCAAAACGAAATGATAGCAAAGCAAATGATACCAAATTATTTGCAGATTGTACCAATAATTCCCTTCTTATGACAAAAACTATTTTGCACATTTAAATAACGTTTATAATGAATAGGGTAATTTTAAAAAATTTCGAACAAAAAAGTAGGATTCTGAACCCTCTCCGATTTCGATGAAATTCGAACACACATTCTTCGTTATGGTTCAGATTTTATCGAGGTTCAAAGTTCATATTTTTTAGAATTTTTTCAAGAAGCATTAAATTTGACAACGTATATTTTCTAAGATATTTATCCGATTTTAATCGTATTAGTCCCCAATTAAAGCCTATGACTTGTAGTTCGACAATATTTTATTTAAAACATTAGTTTTAACGCATGGAACTAAAACGATTAAAATCGGATAAATAGTTTAGAATATATACGATGTCAAATTTAATGCTTGTTGAAAAAATCTTAAAAATGTGAACTTTGAACCTTGATAAAATCTAAACCGTAATAGATTTGGAAACTTTGTAGAACTTTAAACTTCGTATTTGCACAAAGAATGTGTGTACCGAGTTTTATCAAAATCAAAATTTTTTAAATGCCCCAATATTCTAAATCTTTACCAGTTGTTTGTTCAGCATGTCTATCTTGTTAATATAGAAAATGAATTTGAAATAAATTTTTTGTTTTAAAAAATTTGTATGTATGTTAGCACTTCAATAAAAATTTAACTTTGAGATAACATATTAACAAAAATTGTTGTTAAAAGCGGAAAAATTACTCCTTTTGTTTCAAATTTATACCAGACGTGGATCATACATTGAGGAATACTTTACGATCAAAAACTCACATTGTCCCAAGATTGGGTTATCACTTTTTGAATATAGGGCAACGATATTAATATATTTTGAGCACATTCCAAATAGTACTGACACTCTTTAATAAACAAATATAAGCCCTGTATCGTTACGGGTACTTTTACAAAATATTCTACCTTGTTAACAAATCTTCAAAGTTTATCTATTTGAGATGTTTTTGTCAGAAATTTAGATTATAAGTAGAGAGCTGGATAGTACTTCATTTTGTATGAATGTATTATTCTCAATATTTTATTTTTACAAGAAATGTTTGTTATGCTCGTTACACAATTTGTGATCTTCATTACGAGTATAAATTTTACAAAAATTTAATTATATTTTGATGCTTTATTAATATATTAATAAGTTATTTAACAATGTAGTACTACAGCGTTAATTTATCTTAACTGAATCATCATAAATAAAATTCACTACCAATTTGACATTCAATTATCATTTACACTTCCATATCTTCACCAATATATTAAAAAAGCAAATACTGATCAAGATGATCATCAAAATAATCACACATCAATTGCTGTCTTACAAAAAAATTAGAGCCACCTGCTCTTTCAAAGTTTCTTTTCACTTAAAATTTCTCCTATGAAGTATTGTGTTGGGAGAACTAATCTGTTATGAATATAAAAAAAAAAACAATCGAGTCGCTATTCGTAATTTTAATGTAATGTACGACATAAATAGAGCCACTTTGAAAAAAAATCAAAATTTAACAATTTGTAGATGATTTTCAAATTAAAATCGATACAAATAGTTTATTATAATCCTAATTTTATTTTTTCTTCAGCATCTTTTTAGTACCATATAAGAATTTTCTACTAATTTTATCCTTTAAATTAAGTAGGAATTAAGTTCGGAAATTCGGAGTTATGTTAGTATGTTGTCGTAAATTATTTCTGAGTTTTTAAACCACTTCCTGTAACTGAAATATGTTGAAATTTGGAGTATATGTCGATATCTGACAACAATATTAAATTTCTTTCAAATCGTTTAATTTTTCTTGGTTTGTGCTCAATCTTAGCCAAAACTGAAACAATTAGCAAATTATATAATACTTTAAAGCTTTCCTTAAAAGCCACTTTTTAAATAAACTTGTTTCTTCTTTTTTTTACACTTTTTAATAATTTAGTTTTTTTATTGGTTATACAATTTTTTTTTCTCTTTTTTTAATTTTGTTTTATTTTTCAGTACTTTTTTTCTTCTTTTGCTGATTCCTTTTCTATAGTAATTTTTTGTTTAATTTTATATAGATTTTTTTTATTTTTTATTTATTTTGGCACTATAATTATTTTTCTTCTTTAAAAATTCTTTTTTTATTCACTTAACACGCGGGTTGAACTATTTAAATATGGTGGTCAGGTTTTATTTTTTTATAATAAACTGGAAGTATTATAATTGAATATGGCGACCTGTGTTTTGTTATTTTTGTAGGTGCAGTAGTATAACTCTTTTATGAGGACATATGTACGTATAAGTATTTTCAAAACTGGGATGGCTAATCATTCAATTTCAGGGACGGTATTAGTACACTGTATAAAAAACATTAACTTAATCATTAGCATTTAATCAGAACATAATTCATATGTACATATTTATATATAGTATCCCAATAAGCAAAAACCTTTGAAATGATGTAAATATGTATTTGAAAACCTATTCAAATTTCATACATAGCCTTTGAGAACAAATTTGAAATTTTTTGTTTTCAAATGGAAAATTATGGCCTTCTCAAACAAAAAGGCAGTTAGAAATCAAACGTATTTTTCAAATGTATTTGAAATTTAAAAAAAGACTAGAGGTAAGCTTGAAACTTAAAAAATTTTCAAACGTATTTCAAGTATTCTTTATTATTATTTTCATACATATTTCAAACCCTAATTATAATGCTAACTATTGCAAAATTCATATATATTTTTTACATCACCTGAAAATAAAACATTCATACATTTATTTTAGCATATTTTTCTTTTATATCTCCGATTTTTTTTCCTATATTTAACGTTTTTTCGCTCCCTTGCTGTAGAAAAAATGTTCTGTTTTTATTTTTCTAAAATATTTTATTTTTTGAAAGAAACTTTTCTAAGTTCAATTAAAACAAAACTTTGAAAATTTTATAAATATCACACATTATATTTTTTTAAACGTTTTTTGAAATTATCATGTTTATTTCAAAGGCTAAACTTTAAAATTTGAAAACAACACAGAAAAAAGTTTCAGCATAAATATTATGAACTGCTTTCATTGTTAAAAGTTAAGTTATTTATGAATAAGTTCCTAAATTGTATGAATTTTTTAATTTCTAACTTTTCGAACATAATCTAGAAGCCTTGACTTAAAATATTTCAAATTTATTTTTATTTTTCTATTTGTTAAAAAATGTTTGAAATTTTCTTAGGAAAATTTTGTATTTCTTTATGATTTTAAGATTAAAACCGATGAAATGTTCGCGTATTGGCGGGATTTTATCAAGAATAGGTGTTTAACAATGTTTGCTGATGTTTTCTTGTTTTAGATTTGGGTTTTCAACATTTCAATTTCTGGCTTTTAATTATACACAATTCGCTAATAAAGTCTTAATATCTACTGAATATGGAAACAGTTTAGTAGATAAGGGTCTTTTTGCCATTTTTTCATGAATATCGTAGAAAAAAGGAAAAAATTCAAAAAATTTCCGTCATGTTCAAATTCATACATTTTATGAACTTTTAATATTCTGAATGAAAATGGTTTGGGAAAAAAAGTCATGTTCGATTCATAAAATTTATTACCAAATTCATTCCAGATATGAATTATTTTTTTCTGTGAATTTGGAAAATACATTATTTAGTTAAGAAAATTTTCAAAAATATTCACAGGTTTGAATCGATGTTTATTGGGATGTATTATTAAACTTCTTTTTTTTCATATGTATGCTATTCAGGATTTGCCTCTGTAATATAGTTTAATTGGCCTATTAAGGCTTTTATATTACTTTGTTCGAATAAATAAATAAATAAATTATTTTTACACATGAGAGATCTTATTATTGAGCTTGCAAAATCTAAGTTAAATGTATTCCTTTTTAAGGGTAAATGGAGCTCACAAGAGAGTCATCTTCTGTATGTGTCAATATTTTTCCCTCCAAAAAAGTTTTTATTTTTCCTGCTATTTTCTTGCTCAAACTTATATTTTACAGCGTTTCCTATCATTTTCAAAAAATTTCTATAGCTTTTGCCTTGATAATAGAGTGTTTTTATCGTTTTTCTGTGGCCTCGGCTGTAATGTTTGCATCTGCCCTTTTTGAACTCAAAATTATAATTTTTTTAATGAAATTATATAAATTTATTATAATAAAAAGCGTTGGACTTATTATTTGGATAGATTTCTTCAAATTCTTAAATTTTGATATTTTTGGGAACTGACTCTAATGTCAAACTTTTTTATAAAGCTTCATTCAGAATGCACTAAGTACTTATTACATCATGGCTTCATTTAAATTTACATTAAAATTACGAGTAGCGATGCGTAAATTATTAAAAAAAAAAATAACGGTATTAATAAAAGATCAATATAAAATTTTATTTGGGTATTCCAACTCAATTCTTTGTAGGAGAAATTTTTAGTCGAGAGAAACTTTGAAAGTTCAGGTTGCTCTTTTTTTTAATGGAATGGAAATATTAACACTTGGTTTATTGAAAAACTGTTACCATATAGCAAACAATAAAAGTTATAGAAAAAAACATCCAGGATATTAACAGAAAAATAAATTCCTAAATATGACTCTGATCTTAATTTGTTTCATTTAAAACGAGCATTAAAAATATTCACTGTTATGTAATATGATTTTACCCAAAATATGTTGGCTTTGGTCCGTTCGTGAGCTGGACAGTTTTCAAGAAAATATCCTATAGGGGACACGATTTTCTGTGTTCAATTTAATATTTTACCCAGCTTCAAAAAATCTGTTTTATTTTATGATGGTTCCCAAAATATTTTTGTCTATCAAAGACCGTTCGTGAGCTGGACCGACTACAAAATTCCGTTTTTATTTTTTTTAATTTTAGTTTTTCCTTATACAAAATATACAATATGGTGTATCATTTGAAAGCTTTTTTGAAGCTACGTCTAGCGATGTGCAAAATATGCAAAATTGAACATACATTTTATTTATACATATTAATGAAAAACCTAACAATTTTAATTTTTTGGAATATGACAAATTGTCATTGACAATTATGAGCAGTGTATAAAGGTATATCCAGTATTATGCTTCTATTATCAGAATTAATAACATAACAGATATAGAACATTAAAACATACCACGAATTACGTTCTGATATATTACACGTTGGTACTCTTTTATTAGTTCCGGTTCAAAATTTACTCCATGTATAATACGCATCTGTTTTAAAAATGTTGATTTTCCCGATTCGCCAGCTCCCAAAAGTAAAAGTTTCACCTATAATATTTTATAAAAAAGCATTAATTAGATTATGGTAAATAGGTATTTGATTTTCATTATAAATTAATCAAATTATTACGTGCCTGTCTACGAAAAGTTTGTTTTTCTTTTTCTAAAAACTTATCAATTTCTTTTGATTTATAACGTTGCTCCAATTCTTCAGGAGTATTTCTTAAACGTATCAAATAGTTGATCAGGTTGCCACAACATCTCAAACAAGCAAATCTTGATGACTGCAACCTACTTGAAGGACCACGATTGATAACTTCATTTGTGGCAGTCAAACAGCTCCGATGTTCTTCCATTAATTGTGTTGTTGTTCCAGAATCACTACAAGCTGCCCTCAAAACCTCACCATGGACAATGCTACTATTGGCACTGGTCATCCTCCGAAGTCTAAAAGCCAAAATGCCACAACAACAGCATCAGCCACTCTTCTTTTTGCAAAAAATCCTTTTCCACGAATATTTATTAAGCAATCTTTGTGTCAAGTGTTATTTATTAGCATGTTTTGCAGATGCCCCTCCTCTTTTCAATAATACAAAAAATATTTGTTTGTTCCAACTATGGGTAAATTTGTGGATATTTTTGTACCTTTTAAAAATAGACAAATTTATTAAACTTGGTGATGGTAGGAAATTATTTGATTATAGTTTATGAAACAGAAAGCAATAAACTAAATTATTAAAAAAATTCGCAAATCAAAACAATCACTCTTATATTTGTTCAAGTTTCACTTTTATTTTCACCCAGAGCCCTGTGCCGACAAATATTAACAGCGGCGGCGTCTGACACTAAATGTGTCAGAGACGGTTTAAAATCAACTATAAGCCGGCTAAGCCTTCAGTTATTTTTAAATTTTCAACGATATTAAATACAAACGGAAAACGAGAGGTTAAAAAGTTGGATTTTGAAAGCTAATATTTTAAAAATCGGAATTGTCTACCAGAGTAGGAAATTTTTGTATTCGTAATTCTTTTTTTATTTCTATCGTTATACGACTAATTTTCAGGAGATTTGTTTTTTAACTCACGAGAACTATTTTTATTTCAACTCTTCATATTTATAACCTTCATCAGCGTTGCCATATAAATTTCTGCAAAAATCTTCAAATTAAACACAAAAAATCTTTTTTCGCTATAAAAATCTTAATTTTAAACAAATTTGAATTATAAAACTTAATTAATATTTATTTCAGTTAACCTAACCTAAATAGATAGATAATATGTATGTTTCCGTACTAGTCAGATTTTTAAATATTACTTGGGAATAGTAAGTAATTTGACACGATTTCCTTCGCTCTGGTTTTGTCATACGAAAGGAGTACTTTAGTGATATAGTGTATACATACATATTTAATTATTGACTGACACTGCAATATTTTAAAAAAAAATTTTGCTATTCCACTAACCCTAGCTTTGGCACCAATTTTTTTCTACATTATCTGGCACTATTTACATATAGACAATAGAGTGTCCCGAGGAACAGCCTTTTTAAGAATTTCACGTAGAAATATCGCTCAATCGATACGTATTAATATACTGAATACGAGAAAAAAATTTAGAATGGTCCTCAGTTCCCTACCAGCGACAGAAAAACCTGACCTCAGTGTAATTTTTTAAAAATAAAATTTTTTAAAAATTGGGCTCAAAAACTCCGTAATTTTAAGCTGATTACTGAAAAAATAATTTTTTTTGTAGAATATTTTTGGTCCACAAAATGATTTTTAGTGGGTTGAAGAGG